ACCGGTTCCTAGCGAACCAATGCAGCTTTTACTTTGTTTTTTGAACATTTTTCAAGTGGTATCTTTTCATGAATGCATTGCAACTTTTCATATGAATTGGCATGAATGAAGAGGTTCTTACAACTTTATAAAATGCAGATTTTCTTATTTTAAACAATATTCAATACTTCAATTTTCAAATTAACAAATATACTTCTTCATTAACAATTTTCTCATTTTACTCACATTTGAAATTATACTTTCATGTGTTCATAATTTTGTAAAACTTGCCATATAAACTTTCATTATCATTACAAGTTTCATACATACATTGTGAACATTTATATACATTGTTGAGAATTGTTTTTATCTTGAAGAAGAAGATCAATTGAAGATTGATAAAGCTCTCCATATACTTCAAACTAAATCATTGTATTACTTAAAGATTTTCCCTTACTATCCAGGATTGTTAGAAGTAAGTGTTGTGATTTGAAGAGGATTGTTCTTCATTCACATTAGTGTTTGTTTGGTCTTAAAGGTGTTAAGAACCTTTGATGATCCTATAGGTTAGATAGTAAGCATAGGCTGTACAATCATTCTAACTATAGTGAAATCTCTTTCGTGTTGGAAAGGGGACTGGAGTACTCTCGGATTGTGAGGGGAACCAGGATATATCACCGTGTTCTTTACTTTTCCGCATTTATCGCTTTCATCACCATAATCAGGAAAAGATAAAGATATAATCAAAACCTTCAAACACTTAACCAAAAATTACTACCAAGCATTCTCATAAAACCGAATAAATTTTATAAGACCTAATTCACCCCCCCCCCTCTTAGGCACTCTGAGACTTACAATTGGCATCAGAGCAAGTTATAGGTAACTTGTTCCTAAAGATCCAGAATGGCTTCCGCAAATCATCAACCAGTTTTCAGAGATGGTGGTAGTAACAACAAGCCTCCTCTATTCTGTGGTGAATATTTTGACTTCTGGAAAATACGCATGAAGGCGCATTTAGAAGCACAAGGAGAGGAAGTATGGGATGCTGTTGAAAATGGTCCATTTATTCCAATATCAGTAATCAATGGCATTGGTTCTGTAAAACCCAAAACTGCATGGGACGACGATGATAAAAAGAAAGTTCTCTATGACAAAAAGGCAATAAACCTTCTTCAAGGTGCACTCAGTATGGACGAATTTTTCCGTGTCTCGAACTGCAAGACAACAAAAGAAATATGGGATACCCTGGTTCAAACTCATGAAGGAACGGCTGAAGTAAAAAGATCAAGGCTAAATACCTTGAGTCAAGAATATGAACTATTTAGAATGCAGCCCGGAGAATCCATTCTTGACTTACAAAAGAGATTTGTGCATTTGACAAATCACTTAAATGCTCTTGGTAAAACCTTGACAAATGATGAACTCAACTTGAAAATCCTTAGATCATTGACTAGGGAATGGCAACCAAAGGTAACGACAATCTCGGAAAAGAAGAGTCTCTCCGCAATGACTTCTGCTACATTATTTGGCAAACTTCAAGAATATGAAACGGAACTCGGTAGACTTGAAAAACATGAAAATTTAGAGAAGAAATCCAAAGGCATTGCCTTGAAAGTTGATTCAAAGGAAAGTCAAGATAAAGATGCATCAGAGGAAGATGAAAACTTCTTGCTTCTTGTAAAAAGGTTAGGAAAATACTTTGGTCATAAAAGTAATCTTCATAATGCTAACTTTGTCAAGAGGAAGAAATTTTATAATCATAAAGATAAGAAGCCTCCACAGCAACACAAGATGTCACATGTTATGAATGTGGAAAGCAAGGTCACATAAAGCCGGATTGTCCAAAACTCTCCAAGAAAAATGGATTCAAAGGCAAAAAGGAGTTCAAGAACAAAAAGGCTTATGTTGCATGGGAATATAATGAGATAAGTTCTTCATCCGATTCGGAAAGCGAGGAATGTGCAAATCTAGCATTAATGGCTTCACATCACTCCGACGATGAAGAAGAGGTTAGTAATGAATTTAATCTTTTGATGATGATGTTCAAGATGCTATTGATGAACTCTTGAAAGAATGCAAATGTTTATACAAAAAGGTGTCAAATCAAGAAAAAGAACTTCTAAGTTGTTTAGAAACAATTGACACCATGACTAAAGATTTTGAACTTCAAAAACAGAATTTTATTAAAGAAAAATAAAACTTTGCATGCTCCAAGTGTGAATCAAATGTCTTTCAAATTGTTCAATTGAAAAGAGTCATTGAACGATATGAAAAAGGACAAATAGGATTGGAAGGATTACTAAGCCAACAACGTTATCCGAATGATAAAAGGGGTCTTGGTTATGTGAATTCTAAGAAACCAAGTAACAATCCCTCTGTTTTTGTAAAGGCTAGTAATAGTTCCAATCCCAAGAAGGTAGAAAAGAAGCAAGTTGTTCATAATCATCAAAAGAAGAAGGCTAATGTATCGAAAAAGAAAACATTTCCTAAGAAGAAATCTTATCCTTCTAGATATAGAAGTAACTTTGAACCTACTTGTTTTTATTGTGGTATTAAAGGCCATACACCTAATGCTTGCTATGTTAGAAACTTTAGTATAGCAAGTGGGCATTATGTGTGGGTGAAAAAGGGAACTAACTATGAAGGACCCAAGGCAACTTGGGTACCTAACAAAGAATAATTTGTTTGTGTAGGTATGCTTGAAATCCACATCAAATGTTTGGTATCTTGATAGTGGATGTTCAAAGCATATGACAGGAGATGTACACCAATTTTCATATCTAGTACATAAAGCCAAAGGGTATGTCACCTATGGAGACAACACCAAAGGAAAGATTCTTGGCGTTGGAATAGTTGGCACACCTACATCCATTCAAATTGAGGATGTTCTCTATGTTGAAGGATTAAAACACAATCTTCTTAGCATAAGTCAACTTTGCAATAGAGGGTTCAAGATCAAATTCAACAAAGATGAATGTCTCATTATGGATGAGGCAACCAATGAGGTAAAACTCAAAGGTATAAGAACTAACAATATTTTTATGATTACTTTAGATGATTTGTCTCTGAAGGTACAATGTCTTATGGTAAACAACAATGACGCTTGGTTATGGCACAAGAGGATCGCTCACATTCACATGGAGCACTTGAACAAATTGGTTAAGCATGACTTAGTTATTGGTCTACCAAAGATGAAGTTCATCAAGGACAAATTATGTAATGCATGCCAAAAGGGAAAACAGACCAAAACAACTTTCAAATCTAAGAATGTGGTGTCTACTACAAGACCACTACAATTGTTACACATGGATCTCTTTGGTCCATCAAGAACAAAAAGCTTCAGAGGTAATGTATACGCTTTAGTCATTATTGATGATTTTTCTAGATATTCTTGGACTTTGTTTCTTGTGCAGAAAAGTGATGCTTTTAAAGCCTTTAAGAAGTATGCTAAGCAAATCCAAAATGAAAAATCACTAAAGATTGTATCCATAAGAAGTGATCATGGTGGAGAATTCCAAAATGCTCAATTTGAAGAATTTTGTGAAGAACATGGTATCTCTCATTATTTTTCAGCACCTAGAACTCCACAACAAAATGGAGTAGTTGAAAGAAAGAATAGGTTTCTAGTGGAACTTGCAAGAACAATGCTTAGTGATGCAAATCTTCCTAAATATTTTTGGGCGGATGCGGTTAGTACGGCATGTTATGTTGGAAATCGAGTTATCATTAGACCTATAATAAAGAAGACTCCATATGAACTCTTCAAAGGAAGAAAGCCAAATATTGCTCACTTCCACATTTTTGGATGCAAGTGCTTTGTTCTTAATAATGACAAGGATAATCTCGGTAAGTTTGACGAGAAATCCGACGAAGGTATATTTCTTGGTTATTCTCTTTCTAGTAAAGCATATAGAATTTATAATAAAAGAACTTTAACTATTGAAGAATCTATGCATGTATCTTTTGATGAAACTAACCCCTCTAAGGAGGAAGTAGTTGTTTGTGATGATGATGATCCTATAGATTTACCCCCGGAAGATCTTTCATTTGATCAAATTAAGAAATCACCAGAAAATTCAGAAAACATTGTTCAACAAGATTCAAACACCAATGATCTACCAAAAGAATGGAGAACTCATAGAGACCATCCTATTGACAAAATTATTGGTGACATTAGCCAAGGAGTATCAATAAGATTGAATCTAAAAGATGCTTGCTTAAACATGGCGTTTGTTTCTCAAATTGAACCTACCAAAGTTGATGAAGCCTTAGGAGATGATCAATGGATTATTGCTATGCAAGAAGAATTAAATCAATTCGAGAGAAATCAAGTTTGGGAACTTGTTCCTAGACCAAGTGGTAAACACATCATAGGTACCCGATGGGTGTTTAAGAACAAACTTGATGAGAATGGTCTAATTGTTCGAAACAAAGCAAGGTTGGTTGCCCAAGGTTACAATCAAGAGGAAGGAATCGACTTTGAAGAAACATTTTCTCCGGTTGCAAGGTTAGAAGCTATACGTCTTTTACTTGCTTATGCTTGTTCATTAAATTTTCAGCTTTTTCAAATGGACGTCAAAAGCACATTCTTGAATGGATACATCAATGAAGAAGTTTATGTCAAACAACCCCCGGGATTTGAAGACTTCAAACATCCTTCACATGTCTTTAAGTTGAGAAAGGCTCTTTATGGCTTAAAGCAAGCACCAAGATCATGGTATGATAGACTTAGCAATTTTTTGTGTGAAAAAGGTTTCGAAAAGGGTAAGGTTGATAAAACCTTGTTCATTAAGAAAATCCAAAGTAACACTTTATTGGTTCAAGTCTATGTTGATGATATCATTTTTGGATCGACTAACAAAGAAATGTGTGAGGAATTTTCATTGATGATGCAAGGAGAATTCGAGATGTCTATGATGGGAAAGATGAACTACTTTCTTGGACTACAAATCAAGCAACTAGAAGATGGAATCTTCATCAATCAATCTAAGTATTGCAAAGAATTATTGAAAAAGTTTGATATGGACAATTGTAAAGCCATGAACACTCCAATGGGCTCCGGTACATATGTTGATCAAGATGAATCCGGTACTCCAATTGATATTACAAAGTTCAGAGGTATGATTGGTTCTTTATTATACTTGACGGCAAGCCGTCCTGACATCATGTTTAGTGTTTGTCTTTGCGCTCGCTTTCAAGCAAATCCAAAGGAATCACACCTCATGGCAGTTAAAAGGATCATGGAGTATCTTAAAGGAACAATCAATGTCGGCCTATGGTATCCAAAAGGTAGTACTTGCACTTTAATTGGTTATTCTGACGCGGATTATGAAGGTTGTAAAACTGATCGTAAAAGCACAAGTGGTACTTGTCACATTATTGGAAATGCATTAGTATCATGGGCTTGTAAAAAGCAAGCATGTGTTGCTCTTAGCATGGCCGAAGCAGAATACATAGCAGCGGGTAGTTGTTGTGCACAAATTCTTTGGCTCAAGCAACAACTCCGTGATTACGGACTTGATCTCGGATGCATTCCTCTTCGATGCGACAATACAAGTGCTATCAATATTACAAAGAATCCGGTCATGCATTCAAGAACCAAACATATAGATATTCGACATCATTTTCTCCGTGATCATGTACTTAAAGGAGATGTCGAAGTCACTTTTGTGGATACTCATAACCAACTCGCAGATATCTTCACTAAACCGCTTGCTCGAGAACCTTTCTTCAAAATCCGAAGAGAACTTGGTATTTTGGATGAAGGTGATATCTAATGTTTCTCTTAAGATACACGTCTTAATTTTTATATGTATCTATTTCACATTTTTTCCCCATCCTTTTTTATGTTAGCAAAAGGGGAGAAGAGTATTCATGTGTGTTGTTTTGTTTCAAAGAAATTGTAGGCCCAAATAAATATCAAACTCTCTCCAAAATTCAAAGAATCATGGACTTAGGGGAGCATACAATTTAGGGGGAGCCTTGCATTTGCTCAACATGTTTGCTACACAAAACAACATGAACATTTCAAGAAATCGTTTTCAAGACTTGGTTGTCATCATCAAAAATGGGGAGAATGTAATTGCAAGCTTCTCAAGTCATATTTAAAGCATGTGTTTTGATGAAGACAACATGGACATCAACTTTCAAAGGATGTGCAAAAAGCTTATCAACATCAAATAAAAGTCTTGAAGATTATTGAAGAATTATTGAAGAAATCATCAAATGTCAATATGGTATAAATAATTCTTAAAATCTTGAATATAGATGTTCACAATATGCATTCATCAACATATACATATTCCATAACTTTAACATCAAGAAAAACTTTGTTTGAAATATCTTTCAAAAAAGTATTTTTGAAAATAAACCTTTAGGAACCGGTTCCTCCCTAACAGGGAACCGGGTTCCAGCATTTCTCAAAAAACATGTCCCTGGATTTTGTACCAGGAACCGGGTTGTACCAATAGGGGAACCGGTTCCTGCGTGATAAATTTGAATTCCAACTTATAACGTTCACTAAGAACCGGGTTCTGTCAGTGTCGGAACCGGTTCCAAGCGAACCAATGCAGCTTTTACTTTGTTTTTTGAACATTTTTCAAGTGGTATCTTTTCATGAATGCATTGCAACTTTTCATATGAATTGGCATGAATGAAGAGGTTCTTACAACTTTATAAAATGCAGATTTTCTTATTTTAAACAATATTCAATACTTCAATTTTCAAATTAACAAATATACTTCTTCATTAACAATTTTCTCATTTTACTCACATTTGAAATTATACTTTCATGTGTTCATAATTTTGTGAAACTTGCCATATACACTTTCATTATCATTACAAGTTTCATACATACATTGTGAACATTTATATAGATTGTTGAGAATTGTTTTTATCTTGAAGAAGAAGATCAATTGAAGATTGATAAAGCTCTCCATATACTTCAAACTAAATCATTGTATTACTTAAAGATTTTCCCTTACTATCCAGGATTGTTGGAAGTAAGTGTTGTGATTTGAAGAGGATTGTTCTTCATTCACATTAGTGTTTGTTTGGTCTTAAAGGTGTTAAGAACCTTTGATCACCCTATAGGTTAGATAGTAAGCATAGGCTGTACAATCATTCTAACTATAGTGAAATATCTTTCATGTTGGAAAGGGGTCTGGAGTACTCTCGGATTGTGAGGGGAACCAGGATATATCACTGTGTTCTTTACTTTTCCGCATTTATTGCTTTCATCACCATAATCAGGAAAAGATAAAGATATAATCAAAACCTTCAAACACTTAACCAAAAATTACTACCAAGCATTCTCATAAAACCGAATAAATTTTATAAGACCTAATTCACCCCCCCCCCCCCCCCCCCCCCCTCTTAGGCACTATGAGACTTACACAATAGGTACTAATTCACAAAAACAAGAGCATCATAACAACATATTCTGCATTTTTGTAGGCATAAGTCTCTTTCAAATACAAACCAATCAGAATCATATCATTATGCTTAAGCCTAACTTACTCATCCCATTTTTTTTATCCTTTTTAATTTAGACACAATCACATTAAGCCTATTATCCGTACATATTCGTAGTAAGGTGACCAGTTAGTGATTCTGATCCTTTTCACGTGGGTTCTAGTACATAAGCGGTGTAACCCCTTTGTTTACCCACTTGTAGCTGCGGGGGATCAGAGCGTAATCCTCCCTACCAAGTTCAGCATCAGAGAACCTCTGAACCAACTAACAACGGGGTTTATTCTATTTTTGCAGGTTCCACAACCGTTGGGTTAAGCGACTGGATGAGGGTCATCTAACTTACAAGGTGCATTCCCTATTTTCAATTGATTATAGTAGAAAAATTAGGATCATTCACTTATATTCATCGACTTCACTACATAAAGCATGCTTAAGATGGTGTCGACTGCTAAAATAAACCACTTAAGGCTTTATTTAGGGGTGAGAACTTAAGGCTAAGGCATAAAAATTATCCATATCGATCTCTATAATTAAGAGACTTACGATATTAAGACGATACCGATATTTTAGGACATTTCCCAAGTCTCTATAATTTATCCTAAGCTTATCTAATAACCCACAAATTTAAAACAAATACTGTTTCTTTTTGCAAAAAAAATAATAATTCAGTATGGCTTAATAAAAGAAAAAATTCAATAAACAGTAGAAATCACGTATAAAGACTCGACAACACATGCAATGAATCGATGAAACAAACAAAAGAAAAACTAGAAAAAAATAAATCTAACTAGAAAGCAAGAAAAAAGGTAAAGTTCCTCTCCCACACTTAAATTGAACATTATCCTTAATATTTTAGTAAAAGTGGGAAAAAGAATAAGAACCTGACCAATGCCCCCCCTGGTAGTTGTCTGCATGCAGCTGATAGGTGTCAAGTGATCAATATCTTTATTTTCTGAAAATTGAAACAAAAGCAAAAATATTAAATTGAAAACCCGTGTGTTACCTCCCATAGAGCGCTTCTTTTAACGTTGTTATCTTGACGACTTAGGAGTGTAAGCACTCATGGTGGTTCTTTCGAGAATGATTCCTCAATTGAACTTTTAATAATCGATTTTTATAGCCACTTATCAAGCCATATCACATTATCCCTCAAATTTTCTTTTCTTTCTTCTGTGGGGTGGTTCATTCTTTTGAGCTTGTGGAGGTGGTTCAGGCTTTATCCAAAGTATCATCTTTTCAAGTTCGGGTTTATTTCTTTCATCCACCATCTCAAAGACTGACCTTCCCCTCTTAACACTAAAGGTTTCCCTAATTTCATGGTCCTCTAATTTTCCCTTTTTATGCAGGATCTCATACAAATGTGAATTGGTGTGGATATTTTCCAATACTTCTACATACCTTTTGGATTGAGAGTCTACCTTAGCTTCCACAAATATTTGCAGGAATGAAATCAACGGGTTGTTGGGAGGAGGAAGAACATGAGGTGTTTCCTTCTTTACCTCTTCGATAACCTCCCTTTTGGGTGGTGTTATTGGATTTTTCTTAACCTCTACCCCTTTCTCACCAGAAATCCCATTATCACTCTCCTTAGGATTTTTGATTTGTTCTTCACTATTGGTTATTACAACATCTGCATGTTCCTCAGGGAAGGGTCATAGAGTTATTTGTGCAAGCAAGGAGATTTGAGTCTCCAATGGCATGTTGTGACTCGCGAGGGACTCAACCATAGTGTTCATACGCCTAAGAGTTTCATTATTATGGAGACTTTGCTTTCTAAATTCTTCATTTTGGAGCACTTGTGTTACCATAAACCTCCTCCACATATACTCTAGCCTACCGAGAGTTTGAGTCTTAATGAAATTCTCCATTATCATTTCGAGGTCAGATTTATGGGAATCTTGCGGTTCCTCACAATACTAGGAGTGGTAATTGTAGAGAAAATTTTGGTGATACATAGTAATAGTGACAAGAGTGTCTTAATCTATACGGTGCAACAATAAAGTTATCATATTTGACGAAATTGGTCCCTGACAACGACACCAAAAACTTGATGGAGTATTTTGCAAGTGCACTAAAAGTATCAGAGTAATATAAAGAGTGTCGAACCCACAAAGACCAATAGTCAAATCTATCATTACTAATTGTTACGGTGTTTATCTAAGGTGAATAATATAAGTGTTTGGGTTGTGAAAACAGAATAAAATGATAAACTTAAATCAATTCAGAAATGCAATGCTGGAATGCGGATCTCATCAATTAGTTGATACTTTTATTGTTCTTAAATCAAATTACATATGAGATAATATTGTCCTCTTTGAGAAAGAACTAATTAAAAAGGAACCGTCGTTGTCGCATAATCGGAATCAAATTTACTCTTTAATTTATATCGTCCGATGTCGTGTGCCCGACACATTTTACTTTAAAGAAATACACCTTTTTTAGAAATAAGTTTTCTTTTACTCAGATGAAAAGTGATTTTGATTGGAAAATAAGACTTTAAAAGGTTCTCCTCATTCGCTCGGCCAACCGTACCTTAAACTCACAAACGCGTCCGAAAATAGGTTTAAAAGTACTTTATTAAAATATCAACCTTCCTAATTAACTAACAAATAGCTTTCACGGTTTTTATCAATTAAAAACTAAACAACCTTAACCTTTTGTACTTTATGACTTTCGATCTTACCCTGTGTATAAGTGGTTCTACTTTCGTAATAACCGACAATTTTAAGTTTAGAAAAGTTTTGATTAAAACTAAAATAACCCCATAAGCCTTTCTCAACAACAATAATTTAGAGTACCGTCAAATCGACAGTCGTCATATTCCAACACTTATAAATTATCTAGACATGATTATGGTAAACAAATAAACAATTTATTAGAATATGGGATTAAACATAATGGAGAATTTGATAAAAGTGGTTTTTGAAATATAAGTTGCGAGAAAAGTAATTGCGGGGAAATAAAGACGAGGAAAGCAATTGCGAAGAATGTAAATTGCAGGTAAATAAAATTGCGAGGAAATAATATGCGAGGAAAGTAAAGAAAAAAAATAAATTGCAATAAAAGTAAATGAACCTAGAGTAAACACTAGAATGTAAAACTGAATTAAGAACTTCAAATAATGGCAGCAAGATTGTTTGATCTAAGCATTACACAAAATATAAGCCTAAGCACTAATGATGTAGTAGTTCTCCGATGAGAGAAAACTACTAATTTTATAATGATAATTTATGCCTAAAACTATGAAAGAATAAATTGCACAAAAACTTGGATGCCTTGAGAAATGAATGATAGGTTCTTTATATAATGAAAACTAGTGGAAGTTACTTCAAAAGTTTGTGAGAAGTAATGGAGATAATGAGAAGTTGGAGAAAATGGAAATAGTGGGAAGTTGGAGAAAGTGGAAATAATGGGAAGTTGGAGAAAGTGGAGATAATGGGAGACCAAGCCATGCCATTTTGTAACTGCTGCAAAAATAAATAGATGGTAACCGCCATCCTTTTGTGGCGAACGCCTCATTTACATAATGGGAATGACTTGGTCTTATGACCGTTGGTGCATGGAAATGTCATGGCCACCCCTATGGTGAATGCCATGGTGGTCGCCTTGAGTGCAAACTACTCAATTTCTTCCATTTTTCGTCTATTTTGCTTCATTTCTTCACGCGTGATTCTTAAATGGCTAAATACCTGAAAACAAACAAATACCAGCAAAATAGTGGAAATGTAAAACAAAATGACAATAAAACATGCACAAATCGAGTCAAATAAACAGTATAATTTGGTGTCATCAAATTCTCTCACACTTGAACCGTTGCTTGTCCTCAAGCAAAATGAAAGTAAACGCTGACACTTGATAGCTATTATGGGCTTAAAGACTTTACTTTGAACTAAGTTATGTCAATAGGTACTAATTCAAAAAAACAAGGTCATCATAATAACATATTCTGCATTTTTGCAAGCATAAGTCTCTTTCATATACAAACCAATCAGAATCATGTCATTATGCTTAAGCCTAACTTACTCATCCCATTTGTTTCATCCTTTTTCATTCATACTCAGTCACATTAAGCCTATTTACATACATATTCGTAGTAAGGCGACCGATTAGTTATTCTAATCCTTTTCATGGGACTCTGGTACATAAGAGGTGTAAGCCCTTTGTTTACCCACTTGTAGCTGCGGGGGATCATAGCGTAATCCGCCCTACCAAGTTCAGCACCGGAGAACCTCTAAACCAACTAACAACGGGGTTTATTCTATTTTTGCAGGTTCCACAACCGTTGGGTTAAGCGACTGGATGAGGGTCATCTAACTTACAAGGTGCATTCCCTATTTTCAATTGATTATAGTAGAAAAATTAGGATCATTCACTTATATTCATCGACTTCACTACATAAAGCATGCTTAAGATGGTGTCGAATGCTAAAATAAACCACTTAAGGATTTATTTAGGGGTGAGAACTTAAGGCTAAGGCATAACAATTATCCATATCGATCTCTATAATTAAGAGACTTACGATATTAAGACGATACTGATATTTTAGGATATTTCCCAAGTCTCTATAATTTATCCTAAGCTTATCTAATAACCCACAAATTTAAAACAAATACTGTTTCTTTTTGCAAAAAAAAAAATAATTCAGTATGGCTTAATAAAAGAAAAAATTCAATAAACAGCAGAAACCACGTATAAAGACTCGACAACACATGCAATGAATCGATGAAACAAACGAAAGAAAAACTAGAAAAAAATAAATCTAACTAGAAAGCAAGAAAAAAGGTAAAGTTCCTCTCCCACACTTAAATCGAACATTATCCTTAATATTTTAGTAAAAGTGGGAAAAAGAATAAGAACCTGACCAATGCCCCCCCTGGTAGTTGTCTGCATGCAGCTGATAGGTGTCAAGTGATCAATATCTTTATTTTCTGAAAATTGAAACAAAAGCAAAAATATTAAATTGAAAACCCGTGTGTTACCTCCCATAGAGCGCTTCTTTTAACGTTGTTATCTTGACGACTTAGGAGTGTAAGCACTCATGGTGGTTCTTTCGAGAATGATTCCTCAATTGAACTTTTAATAATCGATTTTTATGGACACTTATCAAGCCATCTCTAATTATCCATCACATTTTATTTTCTTTCTTCTATGGGGTAGTTCATTCTTTTGAGTTTGTGGAGGTGGTCCAGGCTCTATCCAAAGTATCATCTTTTCAAGTTCGAGTTTATTTCTTTCATCCACCATCTCAAAGACTGACCATCCCCTCTTAACACTAAAGGTTTCTCTAATTTCATGGTCCTCTAATTTTCCCTTTTTATGCAAGATCTCAGACAAATGTGAATTGGTGTGGATATTTTCCAATACTTCCACATACCTTTTGGGTTGAGAGTCTACCTTGGCTTCCACAAATATTTGCAGGAACGAAATCAGTGGGTTGTAGGGAGTAGGAAGAACACGAGGTGTTTCCTTATCTACCTCTTTGACAACCTCCTTATTGTACCCCAAAATTTGTCCTCTCATTTTCTCAAGATTTCTCTCACATGTGTGGTTACAAACACCTATTTAAAGGAAAAGAAAAAATGAAAAAAAATTAAAGATGTTAATGTGCCTTTCGACAAGATAAAAGTTTGCTTCGAATCCATATCCTTCGATTGAACTTCTAGCCTCTTTCGATGCAAGCTTGGCTTGCATCCTTCGATTGTACATTGTCCTATGACATGCTGGCTTCACTACAAGAAAATTAGTGTTTAACGACACAAAAATTGCGACAGTTATGTGATAACTGTCGTAATTGACATATAGAGACAATGTTTACGACAGTTGACACCAACCGTCCCTAATATTTATTCTGCGATGGTATAATTAACCATCATAATATTATTATTACGACGGTAAAACAACCGTCGGCCCCCATTTAACACTTTTAACATTGATTTTTCACCAACAACTAGTCACGACGGTAAAATTAACCGTCCTAAAAGGCATATCACGACGGTAAAGCACCCGTCGCACCCTTAAACCTTTCACGACGGTAAAATTATCCGTCCTAAAATTCATTTCACGACGGTAAAACAACCGTCGCACCCAAAACCTTTAAAAATTCTCATGGGCACGACGGTTAAACACCCCGTCGCCGTAAAAAAGTTAAAAAGCTCTTAAAATACATAAAACATCAATTCACTTTCTACTCATGCGTTCACTTTTTCTACTCACGAAGAAAATACAAGAATTCTCGACCTAAGGTTCGTGTGGGTCTTCCAAAGAAGAACCCTAAAGTTTTGAAACCCGCTTTCACCATTCCTCCCAAACTGTTACAATCCCTTGTAGAAGACCCTAAATGGGATGAAAAAGGCAGCGTCACACAAAACTACAATTCCTTCGGCGTCGTCAATGACCCTAACTCCCTCACTGATTCTCTTCGAGCTCCTCCTTCTGTCTCCGATGACCCCAACGATTCCGGTAGTGACCTCTAAGAAGACGGTATTTTCGTGTATTTTAGTATCAGAAATTGTTTATATTTATTTGAAATGCATGTAAATTTTATGAATTTTGTGGTGTAGATTTGAAATCGGCACTGGGAAAGAGAAGAAGAGATGGTAAAAGTGCACTTCCTCAACCTTTGACTTCGATTCAGCGTCTTTATATTAGTCGGCTAGTTGAGAAATATGGAGCTGATTTTCAGGTTTGATCTGTTGTCATGTTAATTTCAATTGAAGATATATTAACATTGTAAAGTGAAAATGTTGTTGTTAGGAGGCTGTTTAATGTTTTGTTGTTATTATGGAAGAGAATGATGATGGATATAAAGCTAAATCCTATGCAGCATTCTGTTGCAACTTTAGAGAAATTGTGTATGAGCTATTACATTTACAAGAACAAGAATCCTCTTATTGTTGGAAGATGAAGTACTTTGCATATGAACAAGTGTAGTGCTGTCGAAGATTACAAACTTCCGGTTGTGAGTTGTGATGGTTGATCCATGAATGGGCAAAATGTTGTTACAATGAAGATTTTGGTTGTTTTGACACTTTGGATGTTGCTCGGGTAATATTGTTATAAAATTTTGTTGATGCTTTTTAATTTTGTATGGATTTTTGTTCGGGAAGATTAAGCATTATGGTCTTCTTGCCTGTTGCCAAAACAACGCTTTAGTATATGAAAGTAATTTTGGATGGAATGGGTTTAAAACTGTGTAGGTAGTTTGTTTTTGGGCTATGTATCACTTTTGTTGGGGAACATGAATCAATTCTGGTTAAAGTAGCCAGCTTTTGCCAAAAACAGTTAAATAAGATGGCAGTAATTTTGAATGGAATGTGTTTGGAACTGTTAAGGTAATTTATGATCATATACATGTTTGGCTAAACGCATTTTGATGTCCTTTAACTTAGATGCTTTTCATGTTTGGCTAAATACATTTTGCTGTCCTTTAACTTAGATGCTTGTTATAAGTTAATTTCTAAGTTTGTTTTGGTAACAAATCAGTCTTATGTGCACATCGTTAGCCTTTTAACCACAATAGTTGAGTTATGAAATTAATTTGTTTACTTTTTCTGCTATGTTGCAGGATCAGATGCAATGTTTGCAGGGTTAGGCCATTTTTCTAAGAAATCAATCAAGATATTGTAATGCATATAACTTGATATGCAATTCTTGTATATTTTATTGTAATTGAAAATTATTAGGAACAAACAACTTGTGCATCATGCTTGGGTCTGTTGTTTGTAGATTACATTTATTTGCTTGATATATCCGCTTCTTGTGATATGCTATGCGGGCCAGGCTGCATTTATCTCAAAATTTGGAGACTGGTAATTTTAATCATCTTAGTCGATTTGTGCCAAGTAAGTTCATCAAGACCAATATACTTTGAGTACTCTTATGGTATACACAAGATATACCATGTATTATATTCATTTAACAGGCTAATAGTAAAAACTTCCTCTTATAATTATTGCATTTACCCATGCGGTTTCATTCAATCGTGGAGTGTTTGTGAAGATTACTGTTGAATGCTTCCAACTTTGAGATTATTGCTGAAATTATTGTGGTTTGTGGGGTTGGAAAGCATAGAAGTGAAAAAAGGGGAATCATCAATTAAAGCATTGGGTCAGAAGATGTTGATGGAGATGAAAAGTCCACTCAGGATTGATAAAAGGAAGATGGATGCTTTGTTGGTAAAGGTAAAGCTGTTAAAATCTGGTTATGTGAATTGAGGAAGCCATGATTTTGCTTCTATATATGATGATAGTGATAAACTTGACTGTATATGTTTGTGTTGCCAATAAATATCTATATTCCTCAAGCCCAATTCATATATCATCTGTTCATGAAGGTTTTTGCAATCATTTTCTAATTATGTATGTCAACAGCTTACCCTACTTTAGTTCCTTGCTATAGATAAGAGTTGTATATTTGCTTGATTTTTTTATTTTACTATCAACATAGTAATTTCTATGCCATTTCTGAGTACCAATAAATCCAATGTCATATGTGAACTCATTACACTTCCAATTTTTAATAATAGGCGACAATCAAATAATCAGTTGTCAAGAACATGATGAAAGCCCTATACGTTCAGTTCACCGTCGGAGTTCTACCATTATATTTGGTTACATTCACAGGTACTGCCAGTTCATCAGTCATCGTATACATTTGTTCTGAGCTTCATCAACATGTTTTCGATGTTACAAACCTGTTACAAACATGTTATGTTACAAACCAATTCCTTTGTATTTACTTTTACACATAATACGTAGATCTATAACTGGTTTGCTCTATGTTTGAAGTCATTTTATTTGTAGATGTTGTTTGAAGTAATTTTGTTTTCAAAAAAGCTAACTTTTCTATGTTCGAAGTCATTCATGTCTTGTATCCTAAAATATTTTTGTTTTATTCATAAGGTATATTGTTTGTTTTAGCGGAAGTTGTCAAACAACATCTATGTCGATCGTTTCCAGATCGACATCTTCTTCTGCAGAAAGTGAACAAATAAAGGAAATGCAAGAAGAAATTAATGCACTCAAAGAAAAGAATTCAAAAATTGATGAATTAACACAGGCAATCATATTCTTAACGCAAAGGGACAAGGCGAGGACAAAGGAAATTGAACTCTTAATGCAAATGCAGAATTTTAGTGGAAGACAGGTATATTATTTTGACGCATTTAAAGTTAAATTTTATGAGTATTATTTTAAAGATTATTATTTTAATACCTTTTTTTAGGGATTGGAATCACCCGCTGATGGTAGACGTTCATCTGAGTCTAGCTACCTTATTGGAGATAATGGAACTTCAGGGGGGACAAATTAGACTTTGCTATGATCGAGATAATTAGATTGTGAACTTTCTCATGTATTTTTGGCATAATGATACTTATTATTATAAGATTAGGAATTGATATATTTTGGGTTTTTTGTACTACTTGACATGATTATGGAACTCGCATTTTACATGATTATGGAACACACATTTTTTTGGATATTATAATGCTTATTTGATGTTAAATATTTTTTATTGAAATTATTTTTACTATATTACAAAGTGATAGAAAATAAAACAAAAAATAATACTATAAATAAATATATTAAAGAAAAAAATAACACAAAAAAACTATATTTAAAATTTTTTACATAGATAATAATTTAAATAAAAAATATATATAATAGAAAAAAAAATCAAGACATAAACAAAAGTCATGGCGACAGTACCGAACCGTCGTAATCAACAATTAAAAATAATCAACAAAAGTCATGACGGTACCGAACCGTCGTAATCAACAATTAAAAATAATCAACAAAAGTCATGACGGTATCGAACCGTCGCCATAAACAATTTAATCAATTTCAAAAGATATTCACGACAGTATCGAACCGTCGCCATCAATAATTAAAAGAAACTCAAAAGATAGTCACGACGGTATCAAACAGTCACCAATACTTGATTATGTAAGCTCCAAACCCGTCGTAAACTTGAACGACAGTTTTTGTAACCGTCGCGAAATAGGTTGGGGACACACACTTCTGCGACGGTAAAGCAACCGTCGTGGAAAGCAAATTACGACGGTTTTAACCGTCGTAATCTACAAAAATACCTCTCGCAATCTGCCAATTTTCTTGTAGTGCTTTGATTCACAAAGCAGGAGCTTCCTGCATGCAACCTTCGTTTGCATCATTGACCTCACATGGTTCACAATGTAATGGTGGCCTGCATGCCTGCTTCACTTGAACATTTGATGCTTGTATGCCTATGTTGATTAGACAAATAATTCCCTTCATGCTTGCTTTGATTCACAAAGTGATGGATAGCTGCATACAACTTTCGATTGAGTCATATCTTCCTTCTTGCACGCAAGAGGCGCCCACCAGGCCATCAGGCACAAGGCAAAAAGCCTCCTGTAGTCTCCTTCAATTCCAAGGAAAAAAGCCTCATACTGATATCCTCTGATTTCACCTTTTACCTCCTTTTGGCATCCTTCGATTACATAATTTGTCTCCTGCATGCCTCTTTCATCTGGGCATTTTTGCTTCCTGCATGCCTCTTTTGTTTGGGCATGTGGCCCTCCTTTGATGCAAGCCTCGTTTAGACATGTGGCTCAATTCATACAAGCTTTCGTTTGAGCAAAGACCTCTTGTGTGTTTGCTTGAAGTCACAAAGCAACAACCTCATGCAGCTCTCCTTCGAATCAGAAACCATTGGTTTTCCATGTTTGCATTTGACACCACAAAGCCAGGATTTCCTTCATGTCGTAGGCACAAGGCAGGGACCTCCTGCATACACCCTTTCGTTTAGCCATGTGAACTCTGGTAGGCAAGCCTTCGATTGGACAAGAGCCACCTTCACACAAAGCATCAATTGGAGTTTTGATTCCCTTCGAATCATCATATTTCGAACCCAACTTTGGACCCTTCAAAGCAAGTTTGTTTGAAGAACTTTGAGCAAATATCATAGCCTTATCCTCTAAATCCTACTTGTTAGGCTATGTTGCTTCCAAATCTTTACATAATCAGAGGCTTACACAAAGGTTTGAAGCTTTGTCTACTGGATAATACCATTCTTGGATAAAATAGCAAAAGGCTACGTACCCTTTTTTCATAAAGAGTACTTTAATCACAAAATCAACTTCCAATCTGATTTGTGTCTGAACGAAAGTAGTGTCAAAGGCATACGTCCAATCTCCTGCCCCCAACAGACAACAGGCCCCCACTTGTACTTGAAACGTGGGAACAACGAAAAGGGACTAAACTTATTTCATTTTCAACAAAACCATGGTTTGTTATCCTACAAACCTGGTTACTTCAGTACTTCTAACCCTTTCTCTATAAATAGAGAAACATTTGCAAGCAAAAAGAGGACTTTTATTTTTGGCGGGGGAACGAATCTTCAAGAAATCATCAAACTCTCAAAAACTCTTAAGATTCCCAAACACTAAACACAAACCCAGAATCTAAAGAAACACAACACTTGTTTCTTTTTCTCTTTCGAATCTGAAGCAATCCCCACACTTTGTTTTCTTTCGAATCCAGTAGAAAGAACACCACACTTGTTCTTCTCCTTCAAATCTAGAAAAAACAAGAACCACCCCCACTCTTCTGGGCCTTCGAATCCAGCATTAGAAATGTCACCTTCGTTTCCTCCCTTCGAACCTAGGAGTATCCAAGGCAGCAACTAACGGTCCAGCTCACATACCCCAGCTTCAAGCAAGGTAAGTCACTCTGACCTCAAGCTTTCTCGTTTCAAAACATGTACATAACATTGGTTTCCTTTTTCGTTTTAGTTTGTTTTTCATTGCTAATGTTGTGGTCTATTTCCTTTGTTTATCAAACATGTTTTTAAGAACTAACCTGGCCATAAGACAATACTAGCATGGCCTCAGGCCATGTTGCTATTTAAATCCTAAATGAAAGAAAACAGGAGGAAGGAAGTATGAATCGAAGCTTTAGGCTTCCTCTTGGCTGCTTCACAGTTGCAAGCAGAACAAAGAGTGTGGCCTTAGGCTTCTCCATACACAGACTTCCAGGCTATTCGAAGGAGCAAAAAGGGAGAAATGAAAGTTGTCCACACTGACTGCCAAGCCCAATCGAAGAAGGAAGCAAGGAGCTTGGGGTGAAGAGTGCACTTCATACTGATTCCAGGCCCCAATCGAAGGAAGCAGAAAGGCAGAATCGAAGGCTGCATCTCATGCTTCATGCTAAGCCCAAATCGAAAGGCGTGCCCTCACTACTTCCAGGCCAAATCGAAGGGAGCCAGAGAAGCATAATCGAAGGGTTCTGCTTCCCAAATCGAAGAATTCATTTTTCCTCCCTTATTTTGTTTTGTCTTTACATTTTCTTGATATTCAATATGATTGTAATAGTGTAGGATTTATTTTTTTGCATTTTTATTGCTTTTGTATAAATGTTAGTAATTAGGATGTATGGCAAGATAAAAACAACAAGTAGACAACCCAAAAATCAAAGACAAAATACATGCAAATCAAACACATTATTCACACACATGCACCCCTAGGATAATCTCACTTGTTGCCTCGGAAAATAGTCATGTCCCTCGAATATGGGCGTTTTAGCAAAGACCCTCGATAAAAGATCGTAGTCCCTCGATGACCCTCGATGTTGCCTTTGGTAAACGATCTAGTCCCTAAACGACATTGCTAAAACGTCCCATAGGTTTCCTTCTATGACTATACAAACGACCCATGCCCGTCCCTTCACATCCAACGATGGGGCTTCTTACCATATCAATGGTAAGATAACAACATCTAAAGGAGGAGGAAAAGAACATAGACCTTTTGAGTAGGTAGGATGCTCATAGTTGCTCGCTTGCTCACAACAAAAACATTTTACACACCAACACTTTCCTTTGAAACATTTTCAAAAGTTAAAACACTTTGTACGCATTTTTGTAGAAACGAGAATCATTACAAAGACACTTTTCAAAACCACTTTCAAAAATACATTCCACAAACACCTTTTTGAACTATTTTCAAAACTAACACTTTGTACGCATTCTTATAGAAACGAGAATCATTACAAAGACGTTTTCAAAATACTTTCAAAACCCACACCACAAGCACATTTCAAACAAAAGCAAGTGATCTAGCAAGCAACTAAGAGCCCATAGATAACTACAGATGAAAAGGGTACTAACACCTTCCCTTTTCATAACCTACCCCCCGAACTCAAGAAATAATCTCGAAAGGTCTTTCCTGTTCTTTTCATCCTTTCCTTATTGGATAAAAAAAAAAGTCGGTGACGGCTCTTGCTATCCGCAACAATTGCGATCAAACGCAAAATAACCAAGTCAGTTCTTCCACCGTATTACACTCCCTTTTGGATGGTGTTAGTGGATTTTTCTTAACCTCAACTATTTTCTCACCAGAACTCTCATTATCAATCTCCTTAGGATTTTTGATTTGTTCTTCACTATTGGCTGTTACAACATCTGCATGTCCCTCAGGGAAGGGTCATAGAGTTGTTTGTGCGAGCAAGGAGATTTGAGTCTCCAATGCCATGTTGTGAGTCGCGAGGGACTCGACCATAGTGTTCATACGCCTAAGAGTTTCATTATTATGGAGACATTGATTTCTAAATTCTTCATTTTGGAGCGCTTGTGTTACCATAAACCTCCTCCACATAGACTCTAGCCTACCGAGAGTTTGCGACTCAATGAAATTCTCCATTATCATATCGAGGTCGGATTTATGGGAATCTTGCGGTTCCTCAAAATACTAGGAGTGGTAATTGTAGAGAAAATTTTGGTGATACATAGTAATAGAGACAAGAGTGCCTTAATCTATACGGTGCAACAACAAAGTTATGATATTTGACGAAATTGGTCCCCGACAACGACACCAAAAACTTGATGGAGTATTTTGCAAGTGCACGAAAAGTATCAGAGTAATATAAAGAGTGTCGAACCCATAGAAATCAATAGTCAAATCTATCGTTACTAATTGTTACAGTGTTTATCTAAGGTGAATAATCATAAGTGTTTGGG